CATACTAAAGACCCCTGGCATTCCTTCCAACTTTTATAAAAAACACAAAAAAGGCTTGAAATTCTTTAAGCTTAAAAACACACACACAAGAGACCCCTGAAATACTTTCACATTCTTTAAAAAAATACATAAAAGGAGCCCCTGAGATTCTCTAAAAAACTTTGAAAGTACACACACTAGCAGCCCCTGAAATTCTTTCAAGTTATTAAAAATAATGACACAAGGGACCCCTAAGATTGCTTAAGATTAATAAAAAAATACATAGAAGGGACAGCTGAGATTTAATTTTTCGCTTCTGTAAAAATTGGGCGAAGGTTGTTTCGACAGAACTTCCCCGGTCCCTAAAGGACTTATATCCCCAACATTTTCGAAAAAATATTAAATTTAATTTTGTGACAGAACTTCCCTTGTCCCTAAAGAATATACTAAGAAACATATCCAACATTTTCGAAAAATTATTAAATTTAATTTTGTGACAGAAATTCCCTTGTCCCTAAAGTACTTACTATGAAACATATCCAACATTTTCGAAAAATTATTAAATTTAATATTGTGAATTTAATTTTTTTATGAGAACACCTATAAATTGAAATAAAGATATGTATGTAATGTTAAAGTAAATGTGAAATAGCGTATCTTTCAAATGAATTTTTACTTTACAAAATTTTGTGATGACGTCATCAACGTTTTTGCAAGGGCAATGTAATACTAATAAGGACTGTGATTACATTTCCAAATTTTGGGCAAAATGTAGTGAGTCGTTCTTGATTTGATCAATAAAATACCACTTGCATAAGCAAATCTAAAAAATATGAATTAGATGAAAACTCACAAGTAAAACGTATCCAATATTTTGCACATTTTAGGTACGATTTTTTCGACAAAATTTTGGGATGACGTCATCAAATTTTTCGTGGGGTTAAACAGACCCACTTGAATTAAAAAATTACTAATCCTATAATAAATCTAAAACCTCTGAAAGATTTCAAAGTATTAGGTTTTGCAGTTCCTGATTCAACGAATCGTTTAATTAAGCGTTCTTCGAAAGCTGTTTACCTACAGTCAACAGTACAGGACTGTCTACTTTCTAATTCTGTTTACCATTAAAATCCCATTCTATGATTATGGTTACCTTCCACTGAACGTCAGAACAATCAAAACGGACAAATTATAACCGAACAGCAAAAGGGTTAGGGTCGAATTACCTCCCAGTACCTTCAGGTATACTATCCTCAAACGTATTTGGCGTTTATGACTTCACACCAATTTGAATCCCATTATAATTCAATAGGCCGTCACAACCGGATGTCTTAAACCCGCTCACTGATACCTACCTGAAAAGACCTTTTCTGGTAAAAGCACAGGGCAGGACTGAGTTTTGCATTTACCGACAACTGCGCCTTTCGAGTTTTTTATTTTAAGTAAAAACAAAGTAACTTTGTACTCAATCATTTTTTATTACAGCACAACTATTAGCCAATAACACGTGACGTCACGCTGTGGCGGGAACTCAGCGTTTGACAAGCGCCGTAAAACTCCATAAGTGGCAATGTTAACATTTTCGCATTTCATTTAAAAGTGTAGGTATTTATCTAGAAAGTAAACACGTGAATAGCTTCTTTCATATCTTTTCTGTGTATCAGGGTGCTTTTTTTGGCGATTTGAGTTTAAAAATACATAATAAAAATAAAAATACAGAACGCTGTTTTGGTCTGAATTCCTCGTCACCCAAAATACATCCGTGTGTTTTAAGCGGTAAATCGGAAATTAATATTTTCGTTTGAGGTTAATGTGACGGGTTTAAGTGAAGGTGTGTGATTTGTTTTTAAAGTATGGATAATTTAAGTGATTATGCACGATGTCTTTCCGTCGAAGAAAAAACAGATATGTACAAAAGTTAAACAATTTAAACGGCGTAGATCCTTATACAATGAGTGCAAGTGATTTTAATTTGTGTTTAGACGATGTCCCTACCATAACAATGAATACCATACTAAACTTTATTATTTTTAGAGTAAGTAAAATAACCCACAATAAAACTCGTGCCTTCAAAAGTCTAGAGACATTTATTCAGTTTTCTCTTTTTTAAACAACCGTGTCTTTCAACATTACAAGTATTATGAGTGGATTTATTTTGATATCCTAAATTTTGTGACGGAACATAATCAGGATGGTCCACATCCGACAAATCTGCAGGTTTACCTAAAAGAGCACCAATGTAGTAATTTGTTAGGAATTGTAAATCTAATAGATAGGTACTGTACCTAAAATAAAATGATCCGAACAAACATAGGAATACTTTACTTTGGCTTCGTTAAATCCACTCGTTTCAAGGCTTTTAACCAAAGCTTCAGCCTTTTTCCCCATTCTGTATATATTTACCTTTATTGTTGCTAATTGCTGCGAAAGGAAAATAAAATTTGTCCGCATTTCTGGTGCTTCGATTCGCGCAACCCACAACAGCACAAAATTTAGGCATTTTCTCCTAAAATACAAAATATTATAATATTAATATGCTAGTGTATTTAAAAAACGTTGATGTACATTAACAAGGAATTAATTTGCAAAACAAATAATATAAGATGCAGCGAAGTTAACCTGTACATCACATTGGAAAACATTATTTTTTAAGCATATTCAAACGTTATGGTGCGTTTTACAGATATCTACACAGTCTAGAAACTGTAACAAACTTACCAAACTATAAAAATACAGTTGACACACTCTTAAATTTAAATGAATTCCGAAAATATTAGCATTGACTCTTATGAGAAAACCGGCTAGTTGTCAAACGCTGCCATCTTGATGACCTCGGATGACGTCAGTGTATTTGGCTAATTTACTTATTAACTACTACTGCTTATTTATTGATCGAAATAGTCACTGTCATCATCACTCGACTCTTCTAAATTAATAATTAACGGTGTTATCAACCGTGCCCTGTACTGGTCTTCTTCTTTTGTGGAATGTCGTACACAATTGGCCCACATTTTGGGCAGTTATTTTGGAAGCTTCTTCCCTAATTATGTCAATTGTTGCACTACTAAATTTTGGTGCCGTATTATTCCTTCTTATATTATTTTTCATTTGCGACCAGATTAGTTCGATGGGGTTAAATATACAATGGTACGGCGGAAGTCTAATCACCCTAAATCCACGATCTCGCGCCATAGCATCTATTTTATATTGTTTCTCAAATTTTCGAGTGTGTAACACTTCTAATAATTGTGTCAAATTCGCTCCGAAGCCAGGTAGGTACAAGCATTAAGGATTATATTGTTTGAGAAGTATTTCTTGGAAGTGGTTAACGACGTAAATCCGGTCCCTTATTATTTTCGGAAATTCCGTTATTTAAGTGTATTAAAAGTATGTTTGAGACGTTATCCTGTTACTTTTCAACTTGAGTTTGCTTTGAAAGCATTTAAAACAGTACACGTGTGTCAACATGTCGAAGATAACTCAAATTAATTTATAGATTAAATCTTTTCCTGAATTTATTCTTCAAGAAGGCACTGTGTTTTGTAGCTTCTGCTACAAACCGCATTTCTACTTACAAATATATGTTTTTGGGATCACCGGCAAAATTTTTTGCTACAATATTTCGAAAAGTATTTAAAAATAAATTGTTACAAAAATACTAATTGAATGGCCTGTTATTATTTTTTTTTATTTATTTGTCACTATTTAATGTAAGACAATAATTTTTAAAAATTTTAACAAACAAAATTACTCTGAGTCCGGTCCTTCGCGTCTCGACCGTCCCTGGCACGTGGCATGGTTTACATTTACTAAGTTTTATGAAGGGTCGGCTGTAAAGTACTTTAAACGTCAAAGCCATAAACGCCAAATATCTTTGAGGATAGTATAGCTATAAGGAGATTACGCGCGTAGCGCTAGCATTATCATAATTACTAATTTCTTATGAAGTACGAGAAACATCAAACCGTTTTAATACAAAATCGATTCTTTTAATTATTTCTCAATTGAGTAATTTGACATTGAACATTTTTTTCTTTGCAATACTTTATTATCTACGCTTCTAACTTTAATATATCCATCTGTAAATTTCTAAAAACAGATGTATATATTGAATTCTACTTATAATTTATTGGGTTGACCAAAATTACCAGGAACCAAAATTTAATCCCTTTAACGACGCCGGCTTAAAATTTGTGTACCTGCTAGCTTGGAAACAACATTCCGGCTGACAATTCGGACGTAATACAGTGTTGTCAAAAAGGCATGTACAAAAAAACTAGGAGTGTTCTGTAAACTCCAGGCGTTGAAACAAATTTATGTTTGTAAAATCGGAAATGACAAAGAACTTTTCTTGTCGTCAAAAATGTCATATTGAAAATGAAATTTATTTTTCTCTTTTTCTTAACGAACAAATTGGGAAGTATTGTGGAATAATCCGAATTTAACTGGGAAAATAAAAAGTATCTATTAGAGAGTGGGATTTTAACGATGTCTTTTTTGACCTAAGTAGACAGGACGTGGTAGAAGGTGCTTAAGCCTTAGAATGCTTGTATTATTCAGAAGAACTCAATTTCACTAGTTGTTCAATATATACCACCAAAACCGAAAATTTTGATACAACTGAAATAAAAATGAATGAACTTTAAGTAATCTGCCCAATGCCAATGTTGGCTTATTATTTGCTAAAAACTTTTTAACAAAATATTAAAAATAAAATTCAATATTTTCGCTCTTTGTGTTGCAATATTGATTTTATTTATCTTAGGGGTCTTTTGTTCCTCGTACGTCTTCGAGAGAGAGAGAGAGAGAAATCTTAAAAAGGGAGAGAGAGAGATCCTAGAGAGAGAGAGAGAGAGAGAGAGTATAATAATAATAACTTGTTCGTTATCTTTCATGTGCAGGAGAAGACAAACCTTTTTTTAGTTTTTGCCCATTTTTTAAAAAAAAAACTACGTATATCTAAGTATAGAACTAAGTAAACACAATTTTGTGACAAAGAAAACACCATAGACTATGGGACATTTCGAATAGTCGGCAACAGTTACTGAATTCCAATCCAGTTGCATTCTTTAGACAACTCCAGGATATTTTGGTAGCAGCGGCTGCAAAGGGGTCCGTATTTTGGACAATCCAGGGTTGCTCGATGAGGGACCTCGGCTTCGCAGCAAAGTGAGCACCACGTGTCGCCGTCGATGATTTGTCTGGGAGGAGGTAATTCCAGGCAATTTTCCATGCCAAAACTGAACCAAAAGATTAGTTCTGAAACTAACAATCCTATATTTTACTCACCGATGATGTGACTGGGATTTGAGTGTCTCTGTGGCTGGTGCTTGAAGACGTTGTCTCCGTATTTTTTCGTAACAGTCGTGGCAAATGGGTCCCTGATTTGCACAATACAAAGTTACCCGACGAGGTACCTCGGCGTCGTGGCAAACTGAACACCACGAGTCGGTGAGTTTTGTGGGAGTATATAATTTCAGGGAATTTTCCATTTTTAAGGTGGTCGAAGATGTGTTCTCGACGACGAATGAAACTATGAATACGATGTGCAATTTTTTTTCAAATTTATAGGGATTTTAGAAAGAGCGTGGGGGTTGTGAAGGTATAATTGGTTACAAAGAGGGCTTAAGTTGATTACTAGCTGGTGATGTAATAATTCACCTCGGGTACTTTTATGGGGATTAAGCTCAATGGCAAGTAGTTGAAGGTTGACCAGGGACTAATGACACTGATAAAGTGATTAACTCTGTTTACAGGTAAGGGAGATCGGGGCAATGAGGACCTCCTAAGACATTTTCTCTATTTGAAAATTAATTTCTTGACAGATTTTAATAAAAACACACAAATAAATAAATAATTTATTTCTTCAGAATGAAACACCAAAACAATAAAAAAATAATAGATATTCTTAGAGAAATTTTCTTTTTTTGTCAAGCATGAGGAAAATCCTCTATGCCCCACGTAAGGAGCATGCAGGACCGTAGTGTAAACTACTTCTCTACTGACGAAATTCACAAATAAACTCGTCATCATTTTCATCTATGCCTGCACAAGCATCGTGGGTCTATTTATTGCCTATTTGGCACATTAATTATCCAAGCTTCGCCTTGCTTAGTTTTAGTATATAGCTCGTTGCAAAACCATTGCCATTTTTTCAGCAATGTTTTATTTTGTAGTTCACTTTTTTGTTTTATTGATTTTTTCATAATATTTACATTTCTTGACTTGAGGCCTCCATGGCCCAAAAACAAAAATCTTCCATACCCCAAAACCGACAGGAAATAAAAACATAGTCCTAAATTTAAAATAATTAAGCAATTAAAATGAACTACCGCGGCAAAATGAAGCCACTTCTGTACGCATTCGATAACTGCAGAATAGCTACTCAGAAAATAGAGCAGGCTTTCAGCAAATCCATTTCACATAACTGATGTTTTAGAAGAATTACTTTAAAAACACGTTACTCCAGCTGACAACAAAACTATGCGTTTTATTACCAAATATGCCATCTAACGACGGACATTGGAATTAAGGTGAACCTTAACTGGTTTCTGAGGCAAAAAATTGAAATGTTTATGAAATACTTCGAAAGTCCTCTATGCCCCGAAGTCCTCTTTGCCCCGGTTTTCCCTACCTTTAGAAATAATGTATTAACTTATTTGATAATCAGCATGACTTCCTGTTTGCAAAAGTGTTTATTGGAAACTCAATTGCTTGGGATTATGATGATGACAGCTTACAATCCTGACCTCTCGATTGCTTATCTCAAAGAAACGAAGGTTCTATGAATCAGATGTGCATTATTCTATTTTCGGTTGTTTATTTTTCTTGGCAAAGGGGCTCCAAACTAGCAGAATTTGAAATTTGTAAAAATAGATATGATGTGCTTTCACATTTTTAGACGCAGTGGGTCACTGACATTCCTTAAGATTAATCAAAAAATATACACGAGGAAACATATCCAGCATTTTCGAAAAATTATAAAATTTGAGTTTGCGAATTTTATTTTTTTTTATGAGAATCCCTATAAATTGTAATAAATATATGTATATAATATCAAAGTAAATGTAGTAGTGTGCTACGCGTATATATCAAATTAATTTTTACTTTACAAAATTTTGTGATGACGTCATCAACATTTTTGTTAGTACACATTTATCAATTTGGGTCGGTACAATGTAATACTAATAATAACAGTATTGTATTTCCTAATTTTCGAAAAGATGAAGTGAGCCGTTCTTGATTTGATCAATAAAATAAATTGATTCATTCATTTTTTTTTAGCGTCCTGTGAGTTATATAAGAGTAACTTTATTAACCTGTCGTAGATAATAATAATTTTTGTACGACCATTGCTTTTTCGATCATTTACCGTACAGGTTTCCATAGCAGTAAGTTCAGTTTACGGGTTGCTACGACTAACAACTAAGAGGCGAACGGTAAGTAAATTACTTACTGTTCAGCTGAACGGTAAATAATCATGCATTCAAGATTTTTTTATTTTAAATTCCAAGCGTGTTCGACTTCGACATTTTCGCTTTCAGAATCACTCATGATTGATATTTTAAGAAAATAAATCACTCACTAATAGTCGCGGAAAGAAAATTAACTCGACATCAAGCCAGATTAAATCTAAATCGACAGCGGTCAAAATGGAAACTGATTTTTAAAATTGTTGTTTATATTAATCGAAACCGTAGTAACAAATTTTAAATTAAAAAACGACCTTGTTGATGTTTGATATAAATTCTTTCAATTTATGAATTTGATAAAAAGACGCAAATCTTTTGATGGTCGTACAAAAAATAGTGTAAGCAACACGAACGTTAAGGGGGTTTACTGGTCTCAGACAAATTGGAGACGTCGCTTCGCTCCGTCTCCAAACTTTTGCCTTCGACCAGTAAATACCCCTTACCGTTCTCAATACTTAATATACTATTGTGTATCAAGGTCGTAAAGGAGATCTTTCATGGCCGAACTAAAGTTTGTTGGCCGAGGCATAGTCGAGGCTCAACAATTCAGAAGAGGCCAAAAAAATTCTTCTCGGCTGAGTTGAATATACTGTTTTTTGGGCGACGATTATTTTCATTTTGTATCATCTGGGGTGACAGGAGAACGTGAAGTATTGACAGATGAGTACGTGAAGTGATGACAGAAGAGTACGTGAAGTAAATGCAGCCGTGAAGTACATTTTGACAATTAATAACAAAACGTTTTACGTCCATCAATGGAGACGCAAAGCCATCTATTTTGTGTTAGTTGCCCAAAAAGTAATTTTATTGTCACCAATCACGTTTTCATATACTTATTTCATTATCTACGTTTTTGATAATGATCAGAGGCAGTGAATTGTAAAACAATATATTAGTAAGAAACAGATTTTAGCCGTTTACCCGTTACATCTTCTTCTGTGACGGAACGTATATCTGAGAGGGAAGTAATTTCATTGGTGCCGATCACAGGGCATCCTTGCACCAGTTACTTAAAAGTTCCTAAATACAGAAATTCAAATTGTGGCGCCAAACATGCACCTGTCAACACCCTCCCTCAATTTGATTTTTCATAACCTTAAATAATATTTACATGTCATTTTATCGTTAACAGTTAACCTTAAAATTAAGACAAACAAAAAGAAACGTAATTGCGTTTACCGCGGCCTAACACCTATTTTTGTACAAAGTTTACTAAATTGATTCGTTCCCAGCGCCTTAGTAAGGATGTCGGCCTTCTGATCTTCGGATGGGATGTATCGAACATCAATGGTTTTGTTCTGGTACAAATCTCTCAAAAAGTTGTACTTCACGTCAATGTGTTTCAGACGTTGGTGTTCCCACTTGCACAAAGTATGAATACAGGACTGATTATCTTCGTACACTACAATTGGTTCTTCCACATGTATGCCTAAATCTCTCGCAATATTTCTCAACCACAGGAGTTCAGTAGTGGCAGTTGCTAGGGCTACATACTCAGCCTCCGTAGATGATAGGGCGACAGTGGTCTGTTTCTTGGTTGCCCAACAAACGGTGGCTCCAAGAACTTCAATTAGGAAGCCTGAGGTGGACTTCCGGTCTGCTCCTCCTGCCCAGTCGGAGTCTGCATAACAGATTAATGGTGGTCTCCCTTCTTTTGGGTAGAAGAGACCATGATCTGCTGTACCTTGGAGATATCGCAGAATTCTCTTTAATCCAATCCAATGACAACGTTTTGGATTACTTTGGAATCGGCTGTAGAAATTTATCGCAGCACTGATGTCGGGTCTGGTGTTTAGCATGAGGAACATGAGACTTCCAATTAACTCTCGATAGGGCTTCTCTGGAACTGATTCATTTTCTCCACCGTCATCTCCAGGTTTTATTACCATGGGAGTCCTTACTGCTTTGCACTCTTCCATCCCGAATTTCTTCAGTATTTGTCGAGTGTACACTTGCTGGCTCAGGAACATACCGTCATCAGATCGATTTATTTCAATGCCCAGAAACATTCGCAGTTTTCCAAGATCTGTCATGTTAAACTCTTCTTTAAGTTTTTCCTTAACAGTAATCAGAGATTCATAGTCGTTTGCCGCGAGGATAATGTCATCAACATACAGAAGAAGATAAATTTCATTCTGGTCAGTCTTCTTCATATAAAGACACTTGTCGTTCTCTGACCTTTTAAACGACAGCTTCTTTATGTAATCGTCAAAACGTGAATTCCACGCGCGAGGGGCTTGCTTCAACCCATACAGGGATTTTTGTAACTTACACACTGAGTTTGAGGCAGTGTTGAGTCCTGGGGGAGGTTTCATATAGATTTCTTCATCAATGTAGCCATGTAGGAAAGCATTTTTCACATCGAGTTGTTCAGCCACTAAACCCTTTTCATTTATTAGTGACAACAATATTCTCACAGTGTTCAGACGAGCTACTGGCGCATACGTCTCGCCATAATCAAGACCTGGTCGCTGGGAGCAACCTTTAACGACCAGCCTTGCTTTATATTTGCCTAAACCTCCAAGCCCATTTTGTTTTATTTTGAACACCCATTTGCAGTCTATTGCTCTTTTTCCTTCAGGTAATTCTTCAAGTGTCCATGTTTCATTTTTCAATAGTGATGTCATTTCTTCACTAACTGCTTTGTACCAGCTCTCAGAGTCAGGTCTTCCTTGGATGTCGTCATATGTCAGTGGTACATCATCAACGGATGCACCCAGGGCAACTGTGGAAGTATCGTAGTCTTCCAAATACTTTGGTGTAGTTTTCTTCCTGCTACTGTGTCTACGTTCAGTTTCTGATGTTTCTTCGAAATCTTCAGTGACTTGCTCCATGTCTTCCTCAATAGTTTCTTGTGCAACTTCTTCGATTTTTTCTTCAGGCTTCTGTTCTTCATAGAATGTTGGTTCTTCGGCTGCAAACTTCGTTTCATCAAATGTAATATCTCTACCAAAAACAACACGTTTTTCTTCTGACCACCAGAGCCGATAGCCATTTGAACAATATCCTAGCATGAAGCA